AAAAAGCCCAGCAAGCTCTGTGCAAAATCAGTTAATGTGGTACCAAACTAACCAGTACTTACTGCGTCACAGAAATCAGAGTGAGAAATAACTTGCCAGGTAATGTGTTCATTCCCGCACTCCGCCAGCAGGGATGCGTGCAGGGAATTTATCTTCCTGAACGGGGGCCATGGGACAAAATAAATGGAAGGGGAAGATGCCACATCCCGGTATCACCAGGCACAGCTTATGTCAGGAGGCGTTTGTTTCCAGAGCACGTGCGATGTGATCAGCGTGAGAAACCGCAGCAGCAGGAACGGGGGAGGCGTCCCCAGGGCTGGGCTGGGACAGAGACGGGCAGCAGTGGCTGGGAAGCCGGTGCCCAGCTCTCCCCAGTCCTGCCTTAACCGGCCCCTGCACAGGAGGGCAGGAACAAGCGGTTACTAGCAGCATGGTGGCTCGAGGGACCATCACGTGTGACAGCTTTAAGGTGTCTTGAAAAGCGAGGGCTCAGCTCTGCCTGCACTGAAGTCAAGGGGCATTTCATCACCAGCACCCCGGGGCAAGTGGGTTTCAAAAACGCACTTTAAGTATTGCATTTTGTGCCCCCGCGCTGATCCCTTCACTGCCTGCCCAGCTTTCCCAAGCCTGAGTGTTCCTGGTTTTATTCACCCAAGCCTGTGACAAGCTACATGCTCACCGTGCCAGATCCAGGAGGGGCTTGGGCAAGAGCAGTCCCCCTTGGGGAGGGCATGGGCTGCACTTGCTTGGGGGGTGCTTTTGGAGCCCCTTTTCTGCCCTTGCCTGATCCACCCGCTGGTGAGTGTTTCAGCAAGAGCGGCACCTGGGAGTCAGAAAACTTGGGCACTGCTGCGGGTTGCAACATAGATATTCGCTAGGGCCTTGGCGCCTCTTTACTAGGCGTCAGTTTGCTTTGAAAGGGATAGTGATGTTCCCTCCTTTCCAGGGAAGGGGTTGAGGGGTGGGCGTGAATACGGGGCCATTACCAACAGCCCGGAGTCAGGGTGTACACCTGAGCCCGAGTCAGCATGGGGTGAAGATGGGGCAGGGTGCTGGCAGGCTGTTGGACTGGGACCACTTTGCTCCTTGTCCACCCCCACCAGGAAGCTTCAGTCCTGATGGCTGGAGATATTTGATCCTTCCTTCTCGCTTGTTTTTAACAGCAGTGGTGACGGCACGGTGGGCTGGGTCGATGGTGAATGTGTTGTTTTGTGTTTCCCAGGGCAGCGCTGTGCTGGAACAGGAACGCCGCACGTGGGTCACAAGGGGTTTCTGGTGAGGCAGTCTGGCTGCCCCAGGTGAGTCACCTCTGGACCTAGTGGGTGACATGGGGTTTAAACCTAAGCTCTGTTCAAACGTACTGCAGCTGGCAAGCAATCGCAAACTGGAGACCTGGGTCAAAACGATCAAAAAGCAGAAGTCATAAGCGCTGTGGATGGTGATATGTTCTGCTTATAAACCCAGCCGTCTTGGGATCCCTTGGGAAAACGGTGAGAGAACAGGACAGGCAAGGCAAAAATCAGTAGTGAACGAAGAACTAGCTGCAAGATCCCCGAACCAGGGTAAAAATTGACCCTAAATAAGGATACAGCAAGGTAGAGCTCAGCACTGAGCTAGGCTGTCTCAGACTGTGGATTCAAAGGGGTCATGAAGCACCAGAGAAAGTGTCAGCGGCAGCAGCAGCTGAGTTTCTCCAAAGTGGGAGATGCGAAGCAGCTGTATTTACTAGCTGCAGGAGCTTGGCTTAGGCAGGCATCTGTTCCCTACCTTTCGCTGCTGGCAGCAGAGCTGGGGGAGTGGGTGTTTGCACTGCTAGCCAGCAATGCTAGTGGGTTCACACTCCTCTGCTGTGGAGGAGCAGGACTGCCGCTCATTTAAGAGGTCCCACACAATGATGAGCCAAAAGGGAATTGCCCTCTCCAGCAGGCCGAGGTGCATTAGAGGGTAACTGAGCACCAGCCGGGATGCAGCAGGACTGTGAGTTGGGGTGCAATGAGGCTCGACACTGCTTAGGGGAGGGACTTGGCATGGTGAAGCCCGGTGGAGCTAGTTTGGGTGCTCCCGCTACACGAGCTTTCTCCTCTTTTCTCTGGCAGCCATGCCTCACTTCTTGGATTGGTTCGTGCCTGTGTATCTGATGATCTCCATTCTCATCCTGGTGGGCTTTGGAGCATGCATTTACTACTTCGAGCCAGGACTCCAGGAAGCCCATAAGTGGCGAACACAGAGGCCAATCATGGAACGGGACTTGCGGAAGACGCTGATGATTCGGGATAACCTTGCCTTTGGGGTGCCTGAGGTCTAATATGCAGCCCACAAGGGGTGTGCTCTGGGTGCTGAATCCAGAGGAGCCTCTCGTGGGTGGGTGGACATCTACAGGCCTTGGTCAGGATGACAGGTCTCCCATGTGCAAGTGGGGCGGATTGTCACTTTGTTCTTTGCTGATACAGCTCTCTTACCGTTCACCTTTCTTTCCCTTCACTCCTTAGGCGATGTTTGTGTGGCACTGCAGACTCAGGGCTTTCCACCTGCCCATAGCCCTTTACCCAGCAAAGGACTTTTGCACCTCCCATGGCTGGGAGTGATGAATCACTAAAACGAAAGGTCTGTTGTTATTCACTGTTGAGTTTGAGCTGCCATGCATCTTGACCTGACCTTCACAAAGAAAGGTCTCTGCAGGGGTACTGGGCTTCCAAGAGGATATACAGCCTTTTACTCCTAGTTGGTGGGTTAAATCTAACCTGGTCTGCTTAAGTCAGAGAGGTGTTTTTGGTGAAATGAATTCGGTGGCTTTCAGCCCAGTTCTTTGCTTCAGCTGAGCTCTTCACAACAATCACCCTTGGCAATGTGTTGGTAAGCTTGCTGAAGCTCTGTGCAGAGGGGCCAAGGACTGACCAAGCCCTGGAGACTGAATGCCTTTTTCCCTGCTAAAAGTGCACTGCTTTTTTGTGTCTGTTTTGGAGATGGAGAGTTTCAGAGTTTGGAGCTCTCAGTCTAGCATTTTCATTAAGTACAACGTTCACATTAAGATCTTTACTGAAGAGGTTTGTCCAAGTCCTGTGCCAAGCAGAGAATATTCTGCACTGCTCCATGAAGGGAGATTTAGCTCATAAGCCTCTGCCAGATTTAGCTCATAAGCCTCTTCTGGTCCACCATGAGGCACTTGATCTTCTGCTCCTCTCTGCAACTGCAGGAAATGCGATACTTTTCTATGAATTGATTTGCACTTGTTCGATTCTCTGCATCCCAGAGTCATATTGTGTGAATCCCTGGAGCAGTGGGTGCCACTCTCCCTTCACTCTCATCCTCACTGAAAGCTGTGAAACATTCCTTGACCCCCCTTTCCCTGCATGTCTCTGGGAAGGGACACTGAACCATTCAGTGAAATGGGCCAGTCGCACTGCTTGTGTTTTCTGGACTCAAGTTGTATAATGTGGTTCTTGCACAAAATCCTGTGTTTATATACAGTATTTGCACTTTCTGCACTCCCCTTGGGCTGATCTGCTACCAAAGCACTGTAAGAAGATGAGAAGCTGCAAGTAACTGGAGCATGTGCACCTTTCCCCTCCCTGCCGGTGGTGTGCAATGCCCAGGGTCAAGTTAAGCCTTGGGGGAGCTCTGAACCCATGACAGGAGGTTTTGTCGAGAGCCAAGTCTGGCTCTTGTTGATGCATATCATGCTGACGTGTCACTGTTGTATACTGTGCCCCTGCCTTCACCTCCGTAGGACGCTGTAATGAGCCGTTGCTGGCCCAGCCAGTGTGAAAGTACATGGTGCTGCTCTCCTGTGCCATCCACAGCACCCTGGTCACAGCGCTCACTTTTCCTCCCACCCAAAAAACACTCTTTGGATATGCAAGCTACATCGGTGATAGCTGTCAGCGCTCTGGCCAGTGGGGTCCTATGTGCCCCGCTCGCGCACATCTTGGAGGATGTCAGCCGGCTGCCATGACCCCATGTGCATGTGTCCAAGCATCCCATGGTGCCGCATGCACATGCTGGTATCAGGACGATCCATGTCCCCAGGCTGCTCCCAGGGCACCAGCTCTGTGCCATAGCCTGCAACAGCTCCTTTGGGCAGCAGGAGTCCCTCAGTCCAGCTGTGGAAATAGGCTCCTTCCGTCACAGCTCCCAGATGGGGTCATGTCGCTCAGCCTCCAAGATGAGAGTTCGGGAGCATGCAATAACGCTTCTTTGAAACTGTCAGCAGAGGTTTTCTCCTCCACTCCTGAGGGGAGGAGGAGACTGCACTAGGCTCATTTAACTGAGTGATGTGCCATTGGTAATTCTCTGAGGATGAAGTTAATTTTTAGCTGTAAGTGTTTTGATTCAGGAGGTCGGGGCATCTTGTAAATAGCCTAGGTCTTTCTGGGGCTTTTCATCCACCCAGATTGCAACAATATTTATTACCAATTCCTTTCACAACAAAACTAGTGGGAGCTTTCTAGCTCTGTTTGAGCCAGAGGGCAAGTCAGGAGTCCCTCCATTCAGCCAAAAGCAGAGATCTTGATGCAAGTGCCCTGAACTGGAGAGTCTCGCCCAGCAGGGAAATGAAATGAGCGGGATGACTCTTGTGCTGAAAGTTACACTTGCTCAAGTGAGCACAGGTGCAGCCTGAAACAGGTACATCCCAGGCGTTTTTGTGCCTTGGTGAATTGGGTCTGTGGAAGGGAAATACCGCAGGGCTGCACTGCATGGTGACAGATACTGTCCCCAGCTGCATCGATCATCTCTCCTGCCCTCCAGCACAATATAGCCATCGTCTTCAAGTGTCAGCTTGGATACCTGCTTCCTATCATTGCTGGCAGCTAGGACTGCAATGCAAACGGACCCCAGCCGGAATAACAGGGTAGCAATAAAAACCTTTGTACTAGAGATCAGAGGCTCAGTGAGGCTGGGGACAGGCTAAACCGTCCCTGTGCAACAAGGTTGACTGCTGAACAGGTTTATGGTAAGTGTAGGTCTTTCTGGCATTTGCAGTTTGATCTCTTGTTAGGAGATGGTTGCCATAGCTGGGCACCTCCCAGTCATTCTCGCCCCAAAAAAGTGCTGGTTGCTGGTTCAACTACTTGCTTACAAAATGGTTAGACTGTATCTTCAGAAAGGACTCTCTCAACCCCACAAACGAACCTTCCTCCACCCCAGCAGCATGGCTTCTCTGACCCCAGATAGACATGGATGGGCAGGATGAAAAAGGCCAGGGTCGAAGGGTGTGTTATAGCCAGGACCTGCCTGGGGTTTGGAGCTGGTCACTGCGGTCTCCACCAGCACAAGTTACTTTGCCATTTCACCTTCTGCAAACCCACTTTCACCTGTTGAGTCAAAAGAGAAGTCGAAAAACCACCAACATGGAAAAAACAAAAGGTGTGCCGTGCCTGCTGCCGCGGGTCTGCACCATGCATGGCAGCGCCCCGGCGCCCAGCCAGCCCCACTCTCAGTGAGCTGGCAGGGGGGGTTGCCATGGGGCTTCCCACAGGTCCACCAACTCTTGCCGGCTGCTTGGCGCCTCGTTCCTGCTCTGCATTGCCCACTGCGTGCAGTCTTGCCTGTTTTCATCTCCTCTGTGCCCAGGATTCGCCGTAGAAAACTGAACAAAAAGAAGGCGAGTTCAGCCGTTGCACTTGCTTTTGCCTTTTTATTCAGTTTTCTATGGAGAATCCTGGGTTCTGAATACCTCACAAGGGAAACAAGGAGAGCACCAGTGCTTTTGGTCCTGAGGGCTTGGCAGGGCGGACCACTGGAGATGACCCTGCCAGGGAAAAGGGAGGACTGAGACCTGGTCTCGTGAGTATCTGTTGCCTTTGACATCCCCAGTACCTCTTTGTTCATCTGCCTGATATCCCATCCTCACCCCAAGAGCTAAGGAAGGAACAGGCACAAGTTTCAAGGTCTGCTGGATATTTTGCGAACTATTTGTTTAGGTTCTCTCGCTTATATTTCACTCTCTTTAGCCCTGATGCAATTGGTATCAAGTCAGGTATTTTTCACGGCTACAAGTACTTTATTGTCAATAGTGTCAAGGCCTCCACTATGAAATAAAAGCGTGTAACACACCACATTTTCCACTGCTCTGTTTTCATTATGTTCCCCCTCTGTTTTGTTTCATTTTTGCCTCCCTCTGGCTTAAGACAGCCAGCAAGGACTAGTTTGTTAGTTAGATTCCCTTTAAAGTAGGATAGTTCTTTATCCGAGTGGTTTCTCTGCTGGGTGTACTGACGGGTTATCTGGGAATAATTAAGCGAAAGGAAAACACTGACTGAAAACTGAGACTGTTTCTTCACTGTGATATCCGTGCAGCTATAAAGACTCTCTCAAGGGAGAGTGAAATAGTCTCAGATACTGAATTAAACTGGATGAAGCATTAGAGAAGATACTTAGTGCTGGAAGCACTGAACAGCATCAGATTGGTCTTTTCCACCTTTCCTTTCTCTTTTTTTTAAAAGAAACACAGAAATTACACAGCCCTGAGCCCTTCTGTAAGCACAACACTTCCCACCGGGCTCTCAGCCCAGCCTTTAGTCCCCTGGAAGATTTGTCATGGCCAGAGGGCTGACAGGAAAGCGGCCTCCCGCACAAGGGGTCAAGTGTGTCCGAACACCCAGCTACCCTCTGAGGGCTGAGCGGGGGCCTGGAGGAGAGGGCAAAGCTGGGGACAATATGCCAGCCCTGCAAGGGGGTTTCTTGATGGAGCCAGCATGTGATTTATGGGGTGGTGGTTACCTCCTTCCACCCCAGACAGGCTGTTGTAACCAGCAGGACGATGCAGTCAAAACGCTTACAGGTCCCCATGGCTGCAGAAACTACCGACCCAACCACTCCTATGGCTGCGTACATCAGCTGTGTAAGAGATCAGGCGCTGAAATAACAGATATTTTTCTCCTCTTGCTTGCCATGTGCTGCCAGCGGGCCAGAGCAATACACTGCTCTGTGTGTGGCAGTGTCTGCCAGGAAAACGGCCAGCAGCAAGGCTGGGATCCCCTCTATGTCATCGGTGTGGTCCCCGCGTTCAGCCAGGGCCACCGGACGGCATGTGAGCATTACTATGCCGTGTTGCCTTTGCCTTCCTCTCCGTCTCTCCTGGCATCTCTGCTGCTGCTGGTCCGCTTGCATGTAAGCAGTGATGGGACTTTATATACCTAGGTTGTATTTTTTCTCAAAAGAAAATTTTGAAAGGTGAAACTCCCAGTGCTCCCCATTCCCCTGGTATGCCCACGAGCGCGGTCACCCCTGTGACGCCGCTCTGCTGGTGGGCAGCTCAGGGCTGGTCCCAGGCCAGCGTGGCACCTTCCTCTGCCCACCGCAGGACCGAGAGATGCCGAGTCAGCCGGTTGTCATCTCCTTCACAGCCAGAGCTGCGTTAATGCCCCCAAGGACCCCGAGGATGGTCTCCCCAGGGGAGAGGTGACTCCTCTCCCCCAGGACAAGCATCCTCCTGGGAGACCCCTCAGCTTCAGACATGCTGAAACTTTTCACAGGAAGCTTTTGGCTTTTGGAACTTTCCCAATTTTTCGGAAAGAAAAACAAAAGCATTGATATTGCAATGGTTGTTTTTTTTCACTTTCTCCCCCATCTCTGTCTTTTTGTCCCGTTTGCCAATGAGCGATGCTTTGGCTCGTCCCTCCCACCAAAACACACGCGTTCTTTTCCTTTCCTGCTTCGTTATTGTGTTGCTCTTCAACAGCTCTTTTTTATTATGATGAAGGTACAGAGTAACACACTGACTGCTTGCGATGGATGCCCTTTTAACCCTGGAAATGGCCAAATACTAGCGGAATTAAAAAGCAACCATAACAATAGAGAAGCAAAAGAAAATCAGAATAAACCAAAAGGGCATAAACCTGGGCAAACACCTGAAAAGTGAACATTGACTTCCTCGGTGGGGGCACAATTTGTTGAACTGGAATCTGTAATTTAAAATAAAACAAAAAAAGGGGAGGGGGAAGGAAAATATTTCAAAAATTCAGTGTTTTTTTTTTTTTTTAAACGCAGTCATTTTCTCGAGAGCAGTGGTTTCTCGAGGTGGTTCTGCGGTGACGTAGGTGGGTCTGAAAACATCCAGGCGGCGTTTTTCCCGCCAGCG